AATTTTGTGTAGACAACCAAAATGCAACCTTTAGAAGTGATGATGCCATAAGCCCACCTCTAACCTAAACTACAACCTAAGCATGTTGGAGGAAACGACAATAAAAAGCAGATTTTATTTTTGCACTTGTGCTGCATTTGCTCAACAGCCACACCTTTGCATACTGTATTACGATACTTCAATTAGCAGACAAGGCTATTGAACAAGAACATACTTCACATACTTGAAAACCAGCAAAGGAGAACTACAGTAGATGGGGACTGGATAGAAAACTTTGAGTTTGTTGTTTATATTTTATACCCAGCACTAAAAGCATTATTTATTCTTCTTGCTTCATGTGTTGTTTTTTGGTGTTCTTGTGGCAGCAGCGCCACATGCAGGCTTGGCATAGTTACTACAGCATTTTTGGTAGTTTATGTTGTTTATGTGTGAAAAAAGACATTTCTAAAAATAATACCAAAATTACAAGGATATATTTTGGTATGACGACAAAGAATTTAGCATGACGTGTGTTTCTGTGTGGACAGGCCTATGTTGCTGTTGAGATCTGTTGCTGAATTGCTTCTCAGCTGCTGAAGTGTTGTAGCTAGTAAGATGGCAGCTACCTGCCTCTGTTTTTACTTTATGTACATTTTAAATGAACTGTAATTGGAAATGCTGGGAATACATTGTGCGTACTTGTTTTTTAAAAATTTATTACCTTTTTAGGACCTATTCTGGTACAGTCACGTACCTTGTCAGGTTGTATAGACCTTATGAGGACCATAGCTTGGCTCTAATTTGGTGGAACATCATTTTTGGGATACGGCATAGGTTTAAGGCTAAGGTGGGAACTCTGCTCAGATTAGAGTTAGGGTTAAACTTGTACTAGTAATGGTTAACATTCAGGCAAGTGTCTGGTTTGGTCAATGAATGGCAGCCAGTATATGGCCTGTCACATTTATAAAGCCAATGCTTTGAAAATGTTATCAAGTCATTGCAAGCCTTGCTGTTAGCTCGACCAACATATTTTTTTTATTGTTTTTTCTTAGACAGTTATGATCCACTTACGTTAAACAATACAGGTGCATCTAAAAAAATATAGTAGAAAATCTTGAAGAAGTTCAATATTTTGTCAAACTCATATTACATACTCATCACACAGAGTGACATATTTCAAGCCTTTATTTCTTGTAATTTTGAGGATTATGAATTACAGATGATGAAAAACCAAAACCCAGTTTCTCCGAAAATTAGAACACCAGAATGCTTTCCAGTCTTCTTACCTGCAGATATCATAGTTAATGTCACTTCACCACCGTTTGTACTTTTTGTTGCTTCATGTTTACCTCCCAAAAATACTTGGCTTTTTACATCTGCATGTTTTGTTCTGCTATTTAGTTAACCTCTTTTAACTTTCTAGTATGCCTTGAATGTTCAATGGGACTCTGTTAACTTTGTGCATATTTAACAACTGTCATTTTCCAGTTTTTTGTCCTCACCTGCTACGCTCTCTTTATTGCTCTTCCACTAAGACCATCAGATCATATGCTTTAATCCCATCGTTTACAAGTTACACCATGAAAATGGCTTTTTAAAACATGCATTACATGTGATCTACAACCAGCTTGTCCTCACTTTTTCTACCATTGTATGCTTTGTAATGACATGCCCCCTCTCCCATTTTCACTCAGCCCCTAAATGTTTGATTTTCATACAGCAGTTGAAGTATTTGCAAGCTTTTGTATAAGTTAAATAATGTGTTGCATTAAATATTTAAACAGTAAAATTGAAGTAAAATGTGAATTTTATTTAAACTTTTTAAGTTTACTTGTTAGCGCAAGTTAGTAAAAATTAGAGCAGTGAAACTGAGTCATATTCTAATCTGTTTGCTGCTAAGGTTGAAATTATTCAAATTAAAATTGAATTTTGTCAGCTTGTTTTACAAAGATTGACCCCCCCCAACCCCCCCAAAAAAACAAAAAAACTTTTAAAGTCCACAACAAGACCGAGCTACCACTTCACAATTCAGATTAGGGCATGCACGCTCTTATCAGTCTGTAATAAAGTGGAAATTGCAATTCTTACTTACCAGTGGGTAAAGTTGTTTCTTCCTAAAGTTAAACCAAATGATGGTATTAGTGTTGCTGAGTGTCGGCCTGTTTGCAGCATTACGCTACCAGCAGCGCAAGTAAAATGTTTGTGACAAGAATTAACCATAAATATGTATTTACTGTAGTCACAGAATAAAGATTAGTAAGACTAAATGCTGCAAATGGCAGAAATTAAATATAAAATAAGCTTTGCAAAAATCACGATGGGCTAGGGACAAATGGACCAGTGCTTTATCACATATTTCAACTCGGCTCACCCACCTCTCATTTGCACTTTCTGGCTATAGCAGCAATGTGATATGTGAAAGACATAACATCATCTGAACCTCTTCTTGTTTGCGCTGGTGATGGAGTGACTAATAGTTGAGGTCAGGCAGGAATCCCTGTGGACTATGATGTTTGCAGATGACATTGTGATCTGTGGTGAGAACAGGAAACAGGTGGAAGAGAACTTGGAGATGTGGCGGTATGCACTTGAAAGAAGAGGAATGAAAGTCAGCCGTAGTGAGACAGAGTTCATGTGTTTGAATGAGAAGGAGGCTGGTTGAACAGTGAGGCTACAAGGAGCAGAGGTCACAAAGGTGCAGGACTTCAAGTACTTGGGGTCCACTGTCCAGGGAAATGGGGAGTGTGGTAAAGAAGTGAAGAAGAGAGTCCAGGCCGGATGGAGTGGATGGAGAAAAGTTTCAGGAGTGAGTTGTGCAAAATAGTGTCAGCAAAGGTCAAAGGAAAAGTTTAAGACAGTGGTGAGACCAGCTATGTTGTATGGTCTGGAGACAGTGGTACTGACGAAAGGAGAAAGAACTGGAAGTGGCAGAAATGAAGATGTTAAGGTTCTTCTTATGAGTGACAAGGATGGATAAGATTAGGAATGAGATCATCAGAGGTACAGCACAGGTTGAACAACTGGGAGATAAAGTTAGAGAGACCAGACTGAGATGGCTTGGACATGTCCAGAGGAGGGGCAGTGGGTATACTGGTAGAAGGATGTTAGAAATGCAGCTGAAAGGGAAAAAGAGACAGGAAGGCCACAGAGGAGATATGAATGTAGCTGGAGTGAGGACAGAGTGAGGTGGAGGAGGATGACTCACTGTGATGACCCCTGAAGAGGGAAAAGCCGATAAAAGAAGGAAGCTAAAATACGGCCCTAATAAAGATGGAAACAGAAACTTTGCAAGTGTCTAACCCCATCACGTTTTTTGTTGTGGCTCTGGAAACATACCATTTGAAATTTTTAGCTCACCTGTTCCAAGTCTTACCAAAGTTGAGAGTTCAACATCCTTCATCCAACCTCCCACAAAACTCTACAAATATACAGTGGAAAGGTCAACGTCCTGACAGGTGTAGGTGCTGAACTGTATTAAACTTTGTACACAGTTTTCACGTAACTTTGAAGACTCCCTTCCTTGGGTTTTTATCAGGCCTTACTTTTATATCAGACAAGACGATGTACTTACATTTATTTTTTGGCAGACATGTTAATACAGAGACTAACAACAGTTGTTGGGTAAAGAACAGAAAAATGTGACTTTCTTGTTTTCCTTAATGAGCAGGTCAACAACCACAGCAGCATCATGTAGTGCCAAGGAATGTGGAGAAGAAAAGTTGTGATTTTAATCATTCTCTCAAACAGTCTTTATGTCTATCCATTTCTGCAAATATGGCCTGGAGAGGCTGGATAATTCTCTTATTATTGACAGACATCCCACAGCCATCCTAAACACATCACTGAAGGAGATATTTTTAGACCAAATATACCACAAACACTTTTTTAATGTTTTTGAGTTTCCTGTCAAGTAAAACACCACATAGTTTTATTGTCTATCAAAAAATGTATTTCCTTCTAATCGTCACCTCTAAGATTATGACCTGACTGAAAATTGTTGGATTGTATACCTGGATTATTGAGCATGGACTTTTTTTGGTTTTGAACCAGTTTGACACAACTGTCAACGAGTAAGAGGGCCGGCATCGGAGGAGGGGGCGTGCCAAAGACACCATCTTAGCACAAACAAAACTGGTTTGTTCCACTTTTGAGTAAGCTGTTTGGGGGAAGAATCAGTTTTGTTGTGCATTTCCTTGACTGATGAAGCCTTCTGGATTGAAGGTGAAACGTTTCAGCGAAAAAAGAAACTGTCCAGATGACCTGACTGAAAATTGTTGGATTGTATACCTGGATTATTGAGCATGGACTTTTTTGGTCTAAGATTATGACTTTTTGTCGAAGTACTGTTTTCAGTGACCTCAAAAGGTTTTTGAGAACCAAATTAGTATTTGTCTCAAGTATACGTTGTGTCTTTGTATAATTCCTCTCACAGTTTAAAAACATGCATGTTAGATTATTGGTGACTAAAATTGGCCCTAGATGGAGGTATGAGTGGTAGTTCATCTCTAAATGGTCGTGATGAACTGGGGACATGCCCAGAGGTCTCAAGAGATGTGCTAAACGTATGTGTTGTGAATGACTCAGCTACCAAAATATAGCTCAATATCTGTAAAATAGAGTTGTAGCCATTTTTGTGTTTTACTAAGATTGATTAGCTATGACAGCCATTTTTATTATTATTGAATTATTGGATTATATCCAACAATTCTTTGTGAGAAAGTCCATCCAGTAGTTCATGAGATAAACAAACAAATGAACACCAACACGATGTTGAACGATGAACTTCAACCACAGACGACGACTCAGGTTTGGTGACAGATTATTGCTCTCACAGTATCTAACTAACGTCTTCTCTTCTACTTTTAATCATTTTTTTGTCACAGAGTTCAACTGCTGTTGTTGTGACCATTTACCATTTATTTCTTTTGTTTCCAGTGGATATGTATATAGTAGAAAAACGGTATTTAGGAAAGAAGATTGTAAGTTTGATCAAATAACAGTAAATCATTGTTTTGTGGCAGGAGCAACCTGCGTCCTGAAGAAGAAGTTCTCAGCCTCCCAGTTCTGGACCGACTGCAGAAAGCACAATGTGACCATTTTCCAGTATATCGGTGAACTCTGCAGGTACCTCTGCAATCAGCCTAAGGTAATTTGTTTGCATTCATTAGTGTATTCAGACTGAAGGTTGTGATTTAAAGTTCCTCTGAAACCTGGAGGTATTTCTGGGACACAACCAACCCTTTAAAAGCTTTTAGAATTTGTTCCAGCAGGTGTTTATATCCGTTTCTGTAAGCCCTCTTAGGATGGAGACCCAGTCTGGAACTGTCAGGTTATCGGCACTGTTAAAAGTTATCACTTTAAAGCATTGGTTGGTTTATGTTGTGCACTGTTTCTCCACAGCGTCCACACTATGTTACTAGCGAGCTGTTTCTTGTTAATCTAGAACAAAAGCAGCTTTTTCACCTCATCAGTGACTGTGGTTGACATCTGCTGACCACATTTGCCCCTTTTGCCAATTTAATTTTTATTCATATTTGTTTAGGATAGTAGTGATTGTTGAGACTGATCAGCCAAATATCCCCGTGAGGTCAATCACTTGTACACTTTTTGGTAATCTTCTTTTTTCACATCAATGGGGATGGAGTTGTTCACCTTTGCAGAGAGATTTTTTTCTGATTTTGTGGCGAGCACAATCAAGGACATCACATACACACCATGGGAGGTACAACATGTGCACAACACTGTACTCACAAAATTATATTCAGGCAAATTTGAAAATAAGTTTGATTGTATTTCATATAGTTGCTCCAAAGCAGGTAGAAATGTAAAATCCAACTATTTCAAAGGTAAACCTAGGATAAATATGTTTTATAAACTGATTGTCATGATGTTGACCAATATACTAAAGCCCCCAGTATATTGCCACGTACGTCCATACGCAGAGGTACGCACGTACGTATGCAGAGGTACGCACGTACGTATGCAGAGGTACGTGCGTACCCCCCAGCGTACCCTCCGTGCAAAGCTCAAATTTTTACGACCGCACACGCGTACGCGGTGTCGCACAATAAACTGCCCAACGACAGACTGTTTTGTATGCGACACCAATGTATTAAATTCCTCTTCTTCATCCCTGATCTGGCCTTTTCTTTTGTTTGTTTTTGCCAAGAGGCAGTGATCTCTTCCTCCTCCATTGATGCCATGACTGAAATGGTGAGAAATGGAGGAATTTGTCACGAGCGAATTAAACTCAGGTCCAGCGTGGCTGCGGGAGGGTCTGGAGATTTCCTGGTGGGCTGGTCTGATGTGTGGGCTGTAGAGCCAGCGCTCCCTGTTTTTTTTTAGTTTTTTTTTTAGATCTTTTTATTAACAACATATAAACACAGAACACCGCTGTGGCTGAGGCTGCCAGCGCTCGCTTTTTTTCTTTTTTCCGACCTGTCAATCAATCTAGTAGGCGTGTCAGCAAATGTCCAATCGGCGACCTCAATTTGTCCCGAAGGTAAACGCCCCTTGTCTGTGAAGCTGCTCTGCAGCTGCTCGGGGTGTACGCTGGAGTATGAAGTCTGAACCCTCTGCGTACAGTACACGCGTACGTACGCGTGAACGGACGTACGCGGCAGTATACTGGAACCTTGAGAAACGTTTTGCATGTAAACCTAACACAAAAAGTGCGGACATTTACGTTGATTGTTTCTTTGTTGTAAAATTTGTGTCAATAGAGCCGTATTTCCTCTTAATTGAAGGTATTCGTTTGGAAAGGGCTTTTGTAGTTTGAGCAGAGAGCTGAGTTTGTGGATCACACCCATGGAAAGTTTGACAAATCATCTTCTTCACTGCCAGAAGGCTTATTCTGCTACTGTTCTTGTTTGTTGTCATTTATTGGATGATTCAAGTCTTATCTAAGGAGACGTATTGGCAATTTAACAAAGTAAATTTTACAAACAGGAGTCTCAGTAACAAATTGTCTTTAGGTGAGAGTGAGAGAGTAAATGGTGGTTTGTCTTTGTGTCCCTGTGATGGACTGGAGACCTGTCCAGGGTGTCCCCCACCTCTCGCACAGTGTTGGCTGGATATGGGCACCAGTGCCCCCCACGACCCAAAAAGGAAGGAAGTGGGTAAAGATATTGAATGGCTGGATGGATGGAGTCTCAGTAACACTAGACCTGTCACGATAACAAATTTTGCTGGGCGATTAATTGTCTCAGAAATTATTGCGATAAACGATAATATTGTTTGAAGTTTGACAATAATTAGTAATTATTGTCAAATTTATGAAGAAATGTTTCATTTGTGTTGCATGTAGTACCTTTTTTCAACTACCCAATGGCAGTATAAGATTTATTGAACCAAAGGATGGATAGTGAGGGAGCGAGCAGCGTGTCTCTTTAAGAAAAATGAGAGGGAGACCTTTGACGTGACATGGGCTGTCTCTCTTCGGTTCTCAAAATGACGGATGCTCGGTGTGGTTTGAGCTCTTTAACATAGCATTTTTCACATAAAGCTTTTAATAAAAAATCAGTAAACAAGTTCGCAACTTCTTTTTGCAGAGAAAAACAACTTTTTACACAAAGGCACGGGTTTCAACTGTGAATTTTGGAGCTTCGACAAGACAGAGTTTTTTCCCAAGGTCGGCCTGTTAGCCTAGCTTGTAGCTTAGCTTCTCAGCTTAGCTGCTTTTAACGATCAAAAACACTTGATTTTGAAAATAAAATGGATTTTAAAGAGAGAAGAGAAAGGGAGGGGTCAGTGAAGAACACTGGAGTATCCTGTGTTCTTCAGTAGAAAGAGAGAGACACAAAGAAATGATAAACTCAATAAATGACAATGAGATCGATTAGTTTTCATTTTTCATGCAATTAATTGATTTATTGTTTATCGCGACAGGCCTAGTAACACATGGAAGAACCATACACAGCCACAACATTCTGACACCTCCTCTTCACCATCTTGTCATCTCATTCTTCAGCATTTCTCGCAAATCAGCCAATGTGTTTGTGTTGGTCACTCTGTGATGAACAGTACACCCAATCTGGTGATCCCACAGGTGATCAGTGAGGTTGAGGTCAGGACAGCAGACGGGCCATCCCCTCCACTTCTAAACTCTGGAGGTACAGTAGTCTTTTATAAACCACTCTTTGTGGGAATGAGAGGTGTCATTTTGGAGGAACCAGACTATGGAGGAATGGGATTCCCACTGGTTGCTCACAGGTGCTGACAATCAAGCACCAGTTAGGCACCTGATTATCTGCACCTGGGTACCATAAGCTCAAAACAGCAGCCAATAGCAGAATAGGCAGTTTGGCATGAAAATTTAGCAACTCCTAACTTTTCTGCTCAACCCACAAAATGTTTTTTCTCTACAAATGTGGCACCTTTAGAGAAAGTTAAGGACTCTCCAACAGTAGAGGATTTATTGCCAAGAAGCATTGTTACAACAAAGAAATAATCAACCAAACACAAACTTCATTACTTTTTGTGCTGTGTTTATATCGTTTAAATTAGTTCCTTGCAAAAATACCATAATGTGTGTGTTTGAACGGTGGTGCAGAATTTTATTAGTGGCATTAAATCATCGTCAAAAACAGGAATTCGAGCGTTAAAGAGGAAATTTAGAAAAGTTTTATGTTTTATACAAAATACAGATGAACCTAAAGATTGTGACATTCCTGGAAGACTTTTAAACATTATTTAATGGGGGGGGGGGGGGGGTTCTGCCCCACTGCTTGCTGTTAACGCATCTTATTGTGATATCACATCACGCACGTCATCCAAAGACCAGACTACAAAAACCTCATGAATGAATTAGTTGGAGCAGGAAGTTTTTCCATAAACAGACTTCTTTATCGTCATTGCTGCTTATGAATCATTTAAGTGACACGGATCTATGGCAGATAGACAAGCTCAGTCTTTGTGTTGTGTGCATCCTTACTTGTTGGACACGATGATGTGTACACACACACACAGTCTGAGGCCCAGGCTGTTGCACTCCAGTGCTGGACTCAAAGTCTTCTTTGTCCAGACGTTCTTTGTTAATTGTCTGTGTGAGTGGACTGACCATGACTGTCCTCTCCAATGATTGGAAAATCAAATATGAGAGCACGTAGGACACATAACCATCTTTTTCACGTGGCTAATGTGCACACACACACAACACGAGTGCTACAACCGTTATGCTGTCATTATGTAATTCAGTTTAGTTCAGTTCAAGATGTTTTTTCAGTGCTTCACAACAGAAGTCATTCCAGGGCACTGCAAAGAAAAGCAAACGTGTTCTATTCGAATCCCATGACGTGCAAACCCAGTTCAATCCAGTCCAGTTCACAGTGCAGTCACATTCAGTTAAATATAAATCGTCAAATAGTAAAGTTTAACTTTAAAAGGTGGTGCTTGATTATTGAGTTTCATTAGATTAGTTTTATATTGTAACAACAACAAAAAAAGTTAAATCGTCATCTGGACCAGTTTCTTTAAATGGAAAAACATTTCGTCCCCCATCCAGAGAACTTCGTCAGTCTGCAGCTTGCCAACCAGATCTGTCCCATAGGTAGCCTTCACTGCTGTGTTTCAAGCCATCCTCCTGTTGGAATCTCAGAAGTAGACTTTTTAGACAGTAAATGTAGCAAGTTGGCCATCTGGCCTAAAACATTTGATTGCTGTTGATGTTGATTGATTGTTTAGGACGGGTGTGCTCTGTTTGCACGTGTTAAAAGTCTACTTTTGAAATTCCAACAGGATGTTGGCTTGAAACACAGCAGTGAAGGCTACCTATGGGACAGATCTGGTTGGCAGGCCATAGACTGAGGAAGTCCTCTGGATAGGGGACAAAACGTTTCTCACTTAAAGAAACTGGTCCAGATGACACGATTAACCTTTTTTTATTATCTACCTGGATGATTGAGCTTATAAACAGGTTTATATTGTGTTCTGCATTTTACTATGAGCTAATGAAACAATGCTAAAATAGAATATGTGCTTTTAATTACAATCAGGACTCTGGTAGTAGCATGTTGAATCAACTTTAAAATTTATTTTGAACATGAAAATTTAAAATGATCTAGTCCAGAGGGAGTGTGATAGCTCAGTTGTTTGCTGCCGTGTTGTAATCCTGAGGCTGAGTTTGAGCCCAGGTTTGGTCTGGAAAGGCATCTGCTGTTAAACAATTGCTTATATTATTATTATATCATGCAAGTTCACTTGCTATGGTAACGCCTGCATAAGGGAGCAGCAGAAGGAATGAAAATACAGTAATAGTGATGAAGCCTGGAAAATGACAATGGATGAAGGGGTTCTTTTTTCTGCATCACTTTGGTCCAGGGAGTTAAATTTGAACGTGTTATGTTGGAGGAGCTGAAGGACTTATTCTAATTTTAAAAAATAACACTAAAGTTCCTCACTTTTGTTCTGGCGGCCAAGATAATGACATGAAGTGCAAGACTGAAAAATTTGTTCTAAGGATGCTTAAGTCCTAAAATCACATCTATTGTGAATTTAGAATTTAAATGAAAAGTCATTCAGGCTTTTATGTCTCTAAGTCTTTAAATAACTGTTTGTATTCATCAGAGGCCTTATAGGTAAATCGAGTATCATCAGCATAGCGATGGACATTTATCCCTTGTTCTTTAATAATTAAAGTAAAAATGATTGCACTGATGGTGCATGTGTAACGGTTACTCTACATCCAGTGTCCAATATGTTCTGCAGATGATTTTTATTAGATATTTATGTGAATAATATAACATTTCCTCTTACATTAGCACAATAAGCTGCAGAGAGACATCAGCAGCAAAGCATCTCTGATCACTTATGTCAGAACTCTATTTAAAGATGTCCCGAGTCATTTCCATGTTTGTTTCCTGTTTAAGTAATCCCAGCTTTTCCCCCCCCATCAGACAGAGTTGGACAAAGTTCACAAGGTGAAAATGGGAGTTGGGAACGGGCTGCGACAGGACGTCTGGCGGGAGTTCCTAAGTCGCTTTGGGAACGTGAGAATGTGCGAGGTGTACGGCTCCACCGAGGGAAACCTGTGCTTCATGAACCACTTGGGGAAGATTGGAACTGTGGGTCGCTCCAACTTCCTCTACAGAGTGAGTATGTGAAGTGTTGTGCATGTGTTGGGGTGGAGATGAGTGGTTCGGACGTGTTTAATTAATACTCTGTGCATATGCCTGTGTTGATGAAGTGTATGTGTAAATCTGTTAAGGCAGTTAAAATGGCTGGGCGATGAATTGGCTTTCCTGCAGCCGCTGTAGAGATTAGCCACTCTAATGCCGACCTGCAGAGCTGTTGTCAGTCAGTGGAGTTACAAAACTCTGACTCCCATGTATTTACCTTTTAATCGCTGCTATTTTCAGGCTGCATCTCCTTCTGGCTCATGTTATAAAACATAACAGCAACAAATGAGGTTATAAAATAATGTGACCCCCTGAGACACATGGCGTATTGATTACCTCGATGGTCGTTTGTATAGTTTGTAGTTCCACCAGATTGGAATTATAATTAACTGTAAATTTAAAAGAATTGATAGTTGAGTCCAGTCCTCGCATACAAAGACTGCCCCTCCACCTCCTTTTGCACAAGGAGATTAATTCTAATTCTACCTAAAAATACCCAGAGTGCCTTTCAGTTGCGTTTGTAATCTCAGGTGCCGGACGCTCTTTTTTTTTTTTTTTTTGTGGTTTAAAACTTTAGGTAGTGATGGAGAAAATTTAAATACTCCATAGGGTTAAAATCAAATCCTGCATTACCTTTTAAATAAACAACCCTGATAGACTGTTCTTAATATTTGTAAAAAAAAAAAAAAAAGAGTTTCTACATTATTTCTACATGCAAACTGAGCTTTTGGTGAATCTGTGTGAACTCAAGATAAAAACGTTTTTTTTTTTTTTTTAAACAATGATGTTAGATGTTTCTAGTTTATCATTTAAAACTGAGGAGAAATTGTAGGCGTGCTGTATGGGTATGGACATTTCTCTAAGAAACATTTGGACAGATTTTATTTATTTATCTTTTACACGTGGGGGGGTAAAATAAATCACAGGATTAGTGTAGTTGGGTCCAAGGTACATCAGATTTTTTTTCCCCAATTTGATTTATTTATATTTAAATACAATTTTCTATCTTCAAGATGAACTTTAAATTTTATTTGAATTTTATATTTTTTTCATTCATTTACCATTTTCTGTAAAATAAGTAGAGTACTTTTCTCCCTTGGCTCCAATATTTTAGATTTTTCTTTCAAATGAATTCATATTTAAGAAGAAAATGGAAATGAGAGAAATTGAAACTAGATGTTGGATTGTGGAAAACTATAGATCTTGGAGTCGTGCAGTAAAGGTTTATATAGATAGATAGATAGATAGATAGATAGATAGATAGATAGATAGATA